GGCGACGCGGAGAGACAAAAGTCTGCAGGTGGAGTGGCCGAGGTCAGAATGCCATTCCATTATATTCACGACACGTTGCCTTGTTCCTCACGGGATCTGCGTTCTCGCAGTGCTCTTCTCCTGCGCTGCTCTCTAGTGTTTCCTGCTCCGTCCCTTCCCAGTCTCCGTCAACGAGCACGCCAGGCAAGGCGGAATAGCGCGAGCCGTCCGTGTCGAAGCACTATATCAGAGCAAGCCAGAGTCAAATCGTCCCACCAGATCGAGCTAGACTCTTGTTTGTGTTCTCACGCACGCTACGAGCCGAGCCCCGCATAAGCTACCTGGAGTTCAACTCGCATCCAGCTCGCCCTTTGCGAATTCCTGATAATAACAATACGGAATTAGCTCGGTGCAACGCACGGCAGATTCCCAACGTCCCTTTTAGGCCGTCCGACTGCCACGTGGCGGTAGAGTTAGAAATCTGACAAGCAAGCCGGTGTTCTGAATCCGTCGGTTGCCGAAAAAGGGTAGGAGCGGCTTTCTAGAAAAAGACCGCCAAGCCTGCTGCTCCAAGTCGTCCCTCCTATCGCAGTCAGGCGGACGCTTCAACCTGCCGGCTATGGCGGTGAATCGCGGCTCCCGTCACGATATCTTGGCGCTAGTTGCGGCGCTCGCATGCTTCTGCTGCCTGCCGTGTGTTAGAGGGCCCTACAACAGCAAGGGCCCTCGATGACCTTTGACTTGGCAGGTCGACGCCTAGCAACTGAGTCTACTCGGCACCGACGAATGAGTTCGATGGAGGTCGCATGAAGAAGCGAGAGTCCGTGGGAGTCGTTGGTGCTTCCTTGAGAGTCGCACCACTCCTTGCTGTGTTGGTGGAGTGGTGTGCACGGAAGCGAGAAGTCGATGCTGAGTTGGGTTGGGAAATTGGCGAGGCGCGTTCGCTCACCCACACACCACTTTCGTGGGGTTGGGTTACTCGCAGCGCCCACGCAACCTCTTGTGAAACCCTCGCCTGCCTATATATGTTTGTGTTGCTTGTGTGTTTGATATATATTTTCTATGTTCCTAGTGAAGTCCAAAATGCTACTTCAATTCTCACCAAGTCCTTAGAGGCAAATGCTACCTAAACTCTACCAAGTTGCTGGCGCAACATCATTCCCATAGCAGAAACTCTCTCGTTATCGCTACGCTCTCTAATAGATTCCTTCACCGTGCACGTCGCTCGCACAGCCCATCGCTGAATCGCAAGGTGCGTTGATCACTCTTCTGAACCCCGCTGGGCACATTTAGACATCCCTATGGGACTTAATTCAATCACTTCAACCGCCTTGCACGGTGAGATCATGACCACGCTCGTTTCCGGAGCCAGCCCGCCACCCGGCCAGTCAGGCAGTCAGTCAGTCAATCGGTTGGTCAGTCAGCCAGCTGTTTGTGAGAAGCTCTATGCGTGCGAAGCTGTTACGATGAGCATCAATGCGGATTGAAGATCAACAAGACTCATTCTTCCACGTCCTGCTTGCTTCTTGCGGACATGCCCTGTCCTGCGACCCTTCTCCCTTCCCCACGCCCACCACCTACCTACACCGCCCTGCACTCCCAGTCTGCGCACAGCCAAACCTCCTTTGCTGCTTTCCCCCTTCGTTTTCACCGTTGCCTTGCTGTTGCTGTTGCTGGCTGCGCGGCAGGCGAGGTGCTGCAGGAGTTGCAAACGTCGTGGAACAATGCCATCCCAGGCTGGCAGGCGGGGAGCGACTGCACACAAGCGCAAGGCCTCACATGCGACTCAGACGGCATGATCACCTCCATGTGCGCCCTTCCGTGCCGTGCTGTGCTGTGCCCTGCTATACGGTGCTGTGCTGTGCTAATACTCTGGCCACACATGTTACTCTCTTGTGCTGCGTGGCCCTCCATGTCTGAAGTACACCCAGAAGCATCAAAGTCCCTTCTCTTGTGCTTCGTATACTCTTGCCTGCCACCCTGTTTCTCATTCCCTCCCCTTATCTGCTCTGTCCCTTTCTGGTCTCCCCCTTTCTCCTCTGCCCAGGCGATTCGATCAACTTCCATTATGGGCTTCGATCCCAACCAGTATCACGGGCCTAACCAGCCTCACAGAGCTGTAAGTGTGTGTGGGCGTGTGCTCCCATCAAGGGGGCTTTGTCAGGGTACAGCCCATGTGACCTTGTTCTGGTGCCCCTTCCTGACTCCTGGTGCCGCTTGCTGACTCCTAGTGCCTAGGGTTTCTTAAGTTTTAGTGCTGCTCTATGGGTCACAGCAGAGGCCACCCACACCACCATACCACCACGGATATGGATGGAGACTGTCCATTAACGCTTGCCTTGTGTTCTGCACTTGGATTGGAACAACACTTGCAACGACACTTGCAACAACCCTTGCAACACTTGCAACGGCATTTGGAACGACACTTGGAACGACACTTGGAACAATACTTGGATTGGAAAAACTGTCGTAACAACATGTGGAACGATACTCGGAACGGCACTCAGAGAAAACACCTAGAACGACAGCATCGCTTCTCTGCGTGTTGATATCTTTCTGCGAACCACCGATGCTTCATTCGCCCCATGCATGCAGGAGACTTCACGATTGGTATCCTGACCAGGACACACTGAACAGCATGGCGCAGCTGAAGGCTCTGTGAGTGGCTAGAGGAGAGGGGCACTTGTGGGGTGTGCTCATGTGCGGCCAGGGTCAGGCGTTTCTTGTGTTTTGCACGCTTCCGTTCATTGTGATGGCCTAGGAAGAGGAGTTCGTTTGCTTGCAAGCATCAAACTTCCACATTTTATTGGTTTGATGCGTGTGCGTGTGTATCTGTATCTGCATCTGCATGTGCATGTGCAGGTCATTGAAATGTGTTATCACATCGCCCTTTGATTTCAGTCTGGCCAGCCTCGTTCAGCTAACCAGACTGTGAGCCTTCCCATGCCTGCACGTGCAAGGCACACGCGGGTGATTAACAAGACCAGTGCATGCTCCGTTGCTGGCATGAGTAGCTGCCTGCTTGCCTGCTTGTCTTCTGACCTGCTTGCTTTCTTGCCATGACTGGTGCAGGGAATTGGATTCCTGTGGCATAGAAACCAACTCGACCGTTTTTCGGTCGCTGGGCAAATTGACTGCCCTTGTGAACCTGTGAGACCCCCACTCACTCCCCACACTCACCCCACCCCCACTCACCCCTCCCACTCACTCCTCCTACCCAGTCCATCACTCCTCCCACCCACGCACTCACTCCTTCAACTAATTCACTCCCACTTACTCACTCACTCGCCCCCCCTACTCACTCAGTCCCCCTACGCGTCCACTCCCCCTATACACCCACTCCCTCTACTCACTCTCTCCCCCTATACACTCAATCCCCTTACTCACCCCACACAACCCCCGCACGCACCCACAGCAGAATGCACCACAGTGACCGGCCTATGCACCTTCTTTCTGCTGCTGCTTCTCTTCGCCCTCCCCCGTCCGCTTTTGCTGCTCCTCTTTCTGCTCGTCTTCTCTTCTTCTCTCCCCTTTGCTGCTGCTCGTCCGCATGTGCTTCAGCATGCCACGTCGCCTCCTCCCTCTGCCGCTTCCGCTGCTGCTGCTGCTGCCGCCGCCGCCGCCGCTCCTGCTGCTACTGCTCCTCCCGCTGCTGCTGCTCCTGCTCCTCCCGCTGCTCCTGCAGCGGCTGAGCCATTGCTGCCTCACTCTCTGCATCCCCTTCCCCCCATGCAGGGAGCTTCCCTCCAACCAATTATCAGGCGTTTGGCCTCTTTATCGCATCGACTTCCCCAACCTGCAGAAACTGTACGGCGTTCTGCTTCCCTCTCCCTATTCCCCTCCTCTACTTCCTCTGTGTTTGGAATACTGCGTGCATGCAGACAGCAGCAAGTGGGGCATGGCTGTGGCTTCATGCTGTGTGGCTAGAGGCATGAGTCTGTAGGCTCCTATATGCGGCGCTGTGCTCCCTCCACAACCATCCTGTGCCACTTTGCCTGCGCTCTCCCTTCGCCCTCCCGCACTCTCCCACTGCCAGACCCTGATCACTCCCATCCGCTCGTGTCCGCTCCCATCCACTCCCACCCACTCGCATCCACTCTCACCCGCACGCTGACTTGGCTTTGCTAATAAACGGCTCCCACGGCGGCGCTCCTGCTTACCCACAGCCGCGCTTGTTTTTTCTGACACACTGCCTGCCAATCCACGAGACAGGCTCTTAAAGAATGCCACATGTGTTGCCCCTTGAACTCCCACTCGCTCGCTGCTCATGCGCACATATGCACGGCACGGCAGGGATCTGAGCTCGAATCCACTCAACTTTGATAGCCTTGTGGGGTTCAACAAGCTCAGCAGCCTCACAACGACTTTTGAGACGAATTTCAGCAGCCTCACAACAACTTTTGAGACGAATTTCAGCAGCCTCACAACAACTTTTGAGACGAATTTCAGCAGCCTCACAACGACTTTCCAAACTTTCCCTCCCGCTCTCTGGCAGGGATCTGAGCTCAAACCCACTCAGGATCGACAGCCTTGATGAGCTCAGGAAGCACACGAGCCTCACAACAGTGTGAGTGGGCAATGGGCGTGGCTTAGCGGGTAGAAGAGGAACAAGCATACTCATGGTGATGAGGGTCGCACATTCGGCATGGTTGCACGTTCAGCATGCATGGTGGCACATAGCATGCCTGGTCGCACATTCACTCACACACTGCCTCATGCGCCCCCATTCCCAACACTCCCGTGTGGTTCGCTGCTGGCCGCATGTTGGTTGCTTTGCTTTGGGGGACGGAATCGCATGCGTGCACAGGGATTTGTCAGGCACTCAGCTCTTTGGTGATCGCTTCCTGGAGGGGACTCCCCTGCCCGCCTTGCAATTCCTGTACGTCCTTCCCTCCGTCTGTCCACCCCTCCGTCCGTCCGTCCGTCCGTCCGTCCGTCCGTCCCAAGGTCTTGCGGCTGGTGAAGCCATTGCATTTCACGAGTCGTTGCCCTGAGCACGCTCAAGAGAGGGATTCAATTCAATGTCGCATTGTGCATCCATCCTGCTCCTCCGAGTGTGGGAAGAGCACATGCCATGTTGCACCAGTTCTGTCCCCCATGTTTTCTTCACCGGGTGCAAATGCTTTCTTGCCTCTTGTCATCTCCCTCCTGTCATCTGCCCTTCTCTCTCATTTGCTGCTGCCTTACATCCCTATTCCAAGGCCAACCCCGCATGTCCCCTGCCATACCTCATTCCTTCACTCTCCGTAAGCATCCATCCCTGTCGTTCACTGCATTTCTCTGCCTCCTTCCGTGCAGGAATATTCCCAATAACGGCCTCACAGGCTCCATCCCCGAGTCCCTCACAGCCATCACTTCCTTGGCGTACCTGTCAGTCCCTTGGCCCTGCTTTCTTTCTTGTCGGGTCTCTTTGCATTCACTGCTTGTCTCGTTGCCCATCCCTCTGCTTCACCCTTTCGCCTTTGCTTCAAATTGTCACGTCCCGTCCCGCTGCCATTGCCAGGCTTGAGGCACACCTCTCTTCTTCCGTGTCCCCCTGCCTGGCCTCTTATGCGCCACAGGAACGTGAGCTTCAACCATTTCAAAGGAACCATTCCGCCATCCCTCGGAGGCCTCAAGCAACTCACAACCCTGTAAGTGCTCTCAGCGCTGTAAGTGCAAGGTGGAAATTTTCGCCAGTGTTTTCTCTCCTTTTTTCTTACTATCTCAAAAACCATGGGTGGAGATTTTTGTCCGTTTTTATTTTTCTTTCCTTCTTTCTTTCTTCTTTTTTGCATATACAAAAATGTGCCATAATTTTGTGCGGTGTGTGCTGGAATCTTTAGCTGCTCCTCAGTTGTCATATGTGTTTGCATCTCTGTTGTGTTGAGCACGATGAAATACATAATTTATTTGTGTTTGTCATTTCTCATGGCTCTCCCTCTTCCCTTGCCCCATACAGAGACACCAACGACACGAGTCTCACATGCCCTGGCAGCTACACCAGCTGCGGAGTGCCTCAGAATGCGTCCTCTGGCTTCTGCCGCACCTGCTCTGACTTTTGCGCCACGTGTAAGCTTTTCTTTTGAGAAGGTTAAGAGGGAGGGTGGGGAGAGGTGTTTCCGTCCAAGCACAAGCCTTTGACCCACCAGTCTGTTCTCTCTTAATTCTTCGCTGCCCTCTCCACTCCTAGATGTGCTTCTCTGCTGTACCGTATGTCTCAGTTACTTGTTGATAGAAACATTCGAGACCCCTATTCCATCTACAGGCGGCAAGCGCAAGCCACTTCATTGGGGCGTCATTGTGGGAATTGTGGCTGCTGTTGTTGTCACAGCGGTGTTTGCTGCACTCCTCTACTTCTACTGCTTCGACAAACGTGCGTCCCGCCTCACACTGCATACCGCCTCACACTTCATACCACCTCACACTTCATACCTCCTCACACTTCATACCACCTCACACTTCATACCACCTCACACTGTGTCCCACCTCACACTGTGTCCCACCTAACGTTGCCTTTTCTTGCCGGCCCTGTGATTCATGGGTTGCCATAATGCTTCTTTGATACTCCTCTCATTCCACTTCCAATCACCTCCCTGTGCTTCCCTCCCCTTCTCCTTCATTCCCTCCTCACTCCCCCCTTTCTCTTTCGATCCCCCCATCATTTCCCTGCAACCTGCATGAGCACCAAGGCGCCTCCTCCCTTGGCTTCCCAAACTTATCAACCCTGAGTCACATCTGCTGCCTGCCCTTTCTCCGTGCCTGCTCCGCCCCACAGCGCTGGTGAGCAGCAAGGCGGCAGCGCGGGTGTGTCAGGAGTATTCACTGGCGGCGGTGGTGAAAGCAACCAACGGGTGGTCCGAGGCCAACCTGCTGGGCATGGGAGGGTTTGGTGACGTGTATCGCGGCGTCTCTCCCACCGATGGCACCACTCAGTGGGCCGTGAAGCGAGCCAGGACCGTCACCACCGACTTCGATAAAGAGGTGTGCCACCGTGGTCGTGTGTGGTTTTCTGTGCTGCACGGATCCAGCATTGCACAGCGATCCAGACATTGCTAAACAAGGGTTCCAGTTCTGAGGCGCCTCAAATCTGCGCCACCGTGGCGCTGCTTGTGTGGGGTGTGCGTGCAAGCGACACCCTATTCTGTATGTATCACGTTGTTTGTGTGAGGGGTGCGTGCGAGACAGATAACCACAGAATTGTGGTAGGCAGCTGTGTCATATGGATCACTGAACCGTGTGTTTTATCCACAGGGGCCCACTGGTATGCCTGCCTGGCAGGTGTGCGCGATGGCCACAAAGGACCACCCCAACCAACCTCGTGTGTGTGTCACACACCCACGGCATTCCGGCACGCAGCAGATTCAGATGGATCACTGAACTGTGCTGTACTATGCGTGGCAGGTGTGTGCGATGGCCACAAAGGACCACCCCAACCTGGTGAAACTACTCGGCTTCTCAATCGGCATCACCGGCAAGACAAGGGTCGAGCAAGTCCTCATCTACGAGCTCATGCCCAACGGGGACCTCTCGCGATGGATCGGGAAAGGTGTGTTTTCTAACAGTGCATGCATGTGCTTAGCAGCTATGCTCCCACCTAGTTGGCTGCCTTCCAGGTATGCCTCTTCATGCATGCCTCCTTGATACAGGCCTTCTTGGCAGGTATCCCTCCTTAGCTATGCTCCCATTTTCTTGCCTGCTTCTCACGGACTCCTCTCTCCACCCCTCCATTCCGTCCGTTCGCATCCCCTTCGCCCATCATTCTTATGCGCTGGCCCCTGCAGAGGCAGCAACACCGCTGAGCTTTGAGCAGCGGGTGGGAGTGCTGGTGGGGGCGGCACGCGGCTTTGAGTATCTCCACAGCTTCCCCATCATTCACCGCGACATCAAGCCCGCCAACATCCTGCTTGATGACCGCATGCAGGTAAGTCTGCTCAACGTCCTGCTCAACCAAACCGTGCGTGCAGCTGCACTACTATGAACGGGCATGCACACATGGGTGGCCTGTGTGTGCGCCTCATGTACTTGATGTGTGAGTGCATCCACATGGGTGGACAGGACATCAGATTCCAGTAGATTTCACCGTGCATCCACTCCTGCCTATATCCATTCTCTTCAATGCATGAGTGCAGACTAAGATTTCAGACTTTGGGCTTGTGAGGAAGGACGAGGGCACAACACTACAGAGCACGCGAGTGCTGGGAACACCGGGCTATGTGGACCCCTCTTATGCCGCAACCAACAAGGCCACCACCGCCACTGATGTCTACAGGTGAGCCATGAGCCTCTAATGTCCTTATTTTGGTTACTTTCTGATGGTGGACGCGTCTTATGGTTTACTTCCTCTCCTCTCCTCTCCTCTCCTCTCATCTCCGCCTCTCCTCTCCTTGGGGTGTCCTGGTGTGCAGCTTCGGCATTCTCATGCTTGAGCTCATGACAGGCCGCAACGTCATCACCGATTCTTTCAGCATTCCCTTCGATGAGGAGGCGGGTCAGCAGCTGCACATCCTTCCCTGGGTATGTCCGTGAGGAGATAGAGAGAGTGCCAGTGTGTGTCTGTGCTTCCGCTCTTCAATTCCTTCTCTCTCTTACGCATCGACATGTCGTCTCCACTCTTCAAACTCGAGTTGTTCCAACCCCACAAACTTGTTCTGCTGCTGATCACCACCAGGTCCAGCAGCAGCTGGCACAATCCGGCAGCAACAAGGGGGTGGTGGCAGTCCTCAAGGACGAGCGCATGGATGCGCGGGATGACTTGGTGTTGAGGGTGGTGCAGCTGGCACTGCGATGCACCGACAAGCAGAGCGCCACGCGGCCGGCCATGGGGGTGATCGCAGCCGAGCTGGAGGCCGTGCTGGTGGGGCTGGGCGGCGCACACAGAAATGCTGGTCCCCGTCAGGTGGATCAAGAGGTTGAGTTGCAGAAGAAGTCTGTTACCAGTACGACTTTGGATACGGAGATTGATCGTCTAAATGACCTGTTGTGCGTTGATGGCGTTGAAATGCCATGACCTGCTGTGATGGTGTGAAAGCCGAACTGCATTCGCTGCTGCTGTTGGAAAGTGTGTGTAGATGTCAGAATGTGTTCTTCTTATATAATTGCATGTCTGGCTAGTAGTGTCGTATCGTGTCAAGAATGAAAGTGTTGGTTGACTAAGGCTTGGGGTACATAAACCTAACCCTAACAGTTGTACCTCTGATAACACACCTCACTAAGACTACAACATTTGAGGGGTGTCAAGCAAAACCGGAAGTGTACGGTCACAAGACCAGTCACAAAGAAACAAAGCTCAGGGTGGATCACAACGTCACCACACACTCCGAGCACAAGCAAAAGAGTCACAAGGCTATTTCAAGAGTTCACAGAGGTATATATAAAGTGTACAAACAAAGCAAGGAGAGAACTCAAGACTATGCAAGGCGAGAACCAGTATCAATGAGATCTAACTGCACACAACACATATGGTGGTCACAACAAAAGTCGAAGCGAGCCTGTCCATGCCTCTGCAACTCTCGCAAATACCTGACGTTAATGTGCTTCACTCTGCTCTCCAGTCGCAGCTCTCGACAGAGGAGACTTGCCGCCTTGTTTTCAGTGAACAAGGTCGGCGCAGAGCTCGGCCGCTCACCAAGGTTAGTCAGCAAAAACGTCAGCCAGCGCAACTCCTGTGCAGCCATGGCTCCAGCGTAGATCTCGGCCTCAGGAGTAGAGGTCGAGACCGAGGAGGAACGTGTGGACCTCCACAAAACAACTCCAAAGCCCAGGCTAAAACAGTACCCCTGAGTAGACCTGTATGTCTCGTCGTCGTAAGCGTAAGAAGAGTCACAGTGACCAGTAAGCACGACGTCCTGTCTCCCTCCAAGAACCAGCCCCACGCCTGATGTCGTCGCTAGGTACTTCGCCACCCTCACAGCTGCTGTCCAGTGAACTGGACGGTGTCTCCCTGGTGCAACAAAGCGAGCAAGGATGCTGAGAGGGAAGGCGAGGTCCGGGCGAGTAGAATTCACCAGGTACATAAGGCAGCTCACAAGCTCTGTGTAGGGACCACTAGGGTCAAACGGCTCGTCAAGAAAGGGTCCAGTGAGTCTGTGATCAACGGCAAGAGGTGTGCGCTGTACTGTGGAGTGCTGAAGCTCGAACCGCTGAAGGACCTGCTGCACCATGTGCGACTGTGAGAGTGTAATGGTGCGAGCGGCTCTGTCCCTAGTGATCTGCAGGCCAAGGTAGTGGCACAACTCACCAAGGCTAGTGTACGTGTGTCTCTTCTGCTGTTCGCGCTTCACGTCAGCCAAAGCAACCTTGTCAGCAGTGGCGAGAACCAGGTCGTCGACGTAGACCAGTACAAGGAACGGTGTGGAGCCACGACGAACAAATAGCGACGGGTCGGCAGAAGAAGGCTGGAAACCGAGGTCAGACAGGGTAGATTGAAGGGTGTCGTGCCACTCACGAGGAGCCTGACGGAGACCGTAGACCGATCGCCTAAGCCTCCACTGGGTCCCATGAGGGAAAGTTCCAGTGAAGGCAGAGGGACGGCGCAACCAGACCTCCTCGTGTAGGCTACCCTGAAGGAAGGCAGTGGAGAAGTCAAGAGAGTGTAACTCGTAGTCTCTCTGTGCTGCTACGTGCAGTAACACCCGAAGAGTGGTCATCTTCAAGGTAGGCGCGAAGGTCTGAAAGAAGTCACGCTGACTGAAATGTCTGGCCACATAGTGCGCCTTGAAGACCGGAGGAGATCCCGGTGACCGCTTCACCCTGAAGATCCACATGCCATCGACTACGTTCGCCCCAAGAGGGGGAACGACCTCAACGTAGGTGCCTGTGGATCTGTAGGAGGCCATCTCTGAGTCCATGGCAGCTCTTCACTGAGAGGCCCAAGGCCCTGACACCGCCCCAGCGTAAGTGCGAGGAGTCGGTATGCCTAGGGCGTCAGGATCTCCCTCAGGGGCGAGCAGCATGGCACAGAGATGAGGGGAAGCGGCTGCTAGGAACTCCAGCTCAAACTGCCTGTCCTCTAGGGCGTCACCGCCAAGGGCAGACTCACCCCCGACGGCCAGAGGACTGGTAGGAGGAGCAGCCACAAGACTGGTGGCGTAGTCAAGGCGGCGAGTAGAGGCAAATTCAGTGACTGCGGTAGTAAGAGCGGAGACAGAGGGCAGAGAAGCACGTGGGTCGGTAACAAGAGAAGCGAGAACACGAGAGAGAATAGGATGGTACATGCGGCAGTAGTCTGTGACAGGAGAAGAGAGGGAAGCAGTGAGAGCCGACTCAGGAGGAGAAGGAAGTACAGAAGGAGAAGAACGAGGCGGACTAGAACGAAACAGGGCAGTACGAAGGTCAGTGAAGGGAACAGGGGACGAGCACGAGGAGAGCGACGCAAAGGCCAAGTGTGTGAAAGAGGAGGGGACAACTGGGGCTGAGGAGGAGGGAAAACAGCAAGGGAGGGATCAGGAGGAAGAAGCGGAGGACCAGAGACGGGAGGAGAGAGGGAGCAGGGAGGAGGGGGAGAGGGGAGACCGAGGGTCCGAAGACCAGAGACAGGAGGAGGAGGTGGCGGCTGCTGCTGCTCTTGCTACGGCTGCGACCGCTGCTCCTCCAGTTGCGGCGGCGGCTGTTGCTCCTGCTACTGCGGCTGCTGCTATGCCTGTGCTGCTGCTGTGGCTGCTGCTCCAACCGCTGTAGTTCCAGCTGCCGCCGCTCCAACTCTCTCTCCTCTCGCTCCAACTCCAGCTGCTCCTCACGGGCACGACGAACACGGGCCTGGTGCCGAGTCGGGTAGGGGTGGGGGGGAGAAGTAGTGTCCGGGGCGGTGGTAGCCCCAGGACCGCTCTCCAGAGAACCAGTCGCACCACCCCTAGAGCCAACACCACCAGAAGTAATAGGGTCCTTCGCATGCTCTCCAGGTCCAGGAGAGGGTGCACCCCCAGTCGTAGCACCCCCAGGGACAGCTCCACTAACACCAGCTTCCTGAAGACTAGAGTCTCCTGCAGTCACCGGATCACGTCCAACTCCAGCACCCCCAGAACCAGGACCTCACACAGGTACGCTCTCTGCTCCAACTCCACCACCTCCAGAGGTAGCACCCCCAAGGTCGTCGACACGAACACCGGCTCCCTCAGGGTCAACAGTAGGATGTGAGGAGGACTGCGGGGAAGGAGACTGCACCTAAGGGGCTACCTAGGGGGGAGGGGTAGCGTGGGACACACCTGACGGGGCTGGACCAGGGGGGGGGGGGGGCTGCACCGGAGGAGTAGGAGGGGGAGCGGGAGTCAGGAAGAGAGGGGGAGGAGGAACTGGGAGACCTTGACAAGGGTACCTGGCGTAGTAGGGGACTGACTCGTCAAAAGTGACGTCACGGGAGTCAAAGAACCGGTGAAGGGGAGGGTGGTAAAAGGTGAAGCCAGAGGAGTCCTCTAGGAAACCAAGGAAGACACAGAGAACGGCGCGAGTCGAGATCTTGTCCGCGGAGGTGTCGCAAACAAGTGCCAAGCAACCCCAGACACGGAAATGCGACGCAATACCAGGGGACCCGGTCCAAAGACTGGTCGGTGAAACCTCGGGCCGAGAGACACGTGGCCAGAGGTTCAGCTGGTGAGGAGCGTACCGAACCACGTAGGGCCACAGAAAATGGGGGGCACGGGCGTGAATCATAGAGGTATGGGCGATCTCCATGACCAAGCCTATGCAGCGCTCAGTAACCCCATTCTGCTGTGGGGACTCTGGAAGCGCCCAGGACTGTCGGATGCCTTGCTCGCGACAGAATCTAGCGAGAATGTCGGAGCGAAACTCACCTCCACGGTCAGTGTGAAGACAGCTGACACGACGACCACGAGTGTCCGCAGTGGTAAGCAACCACCGAATCAGCAAAAAATTCACGTCAGACTTCTTCGCCAGGGGGAACACTGTGGTGTAGCGAGAGTAGTCGTCAACGACCACCAGAGAGAAACTCTCTCGCTCAGGGCTAGGGCGAGGGGCGGGGCCCCAGACGTCCAAGTGGAGAGTCTCAAAGGGCTCGGTGGCAGGATGAAGGGAGGAGGAGCGAGGGGTGGCGCGCAGCCGACCCTCGACGCAGGGACCGCATGGTGGGGCAAGCGAAGGTGGCAGCGACGACAAGACTCAAGGGAGGCCTAAGACCAGACGCCGACTAGACATAGCGCGCAGGCGAGAAATGGACAGGTGCCCCATCCGGTGGTGCCACAGAACGGTGGGGTGGGCAAGTGACCGGCAGGAGCAAGACACATCAACTGGACCAGAAACTAGTACCTGGGAAGACGCGGCAACCTGGTGAGACGCGGTAACCTGACGGGGGGCAGTGACAGTGGTCAGGGGCAGTAGCTGCTGCTGTTGCTGCTGCCACTACTGCTGCTGCCCTCGGGAGCCAGTGTGAAGTGTGTAGAGACCAGAGCCCAGCTCAGCGGTAAAGGTGGCCAGAGGCGCGTACGTGTCCCCGTCGACACAAACCGCAGTCTCGAAGAAGGCTCAATGCACACACCCACGTGCTGAATCACGAGCAGCCTCACGACCACCAAGTTCCTCGAGAACGAGGGGATGTGGAAGCCAGTCAGAGAACCGTAGGGAACAGCCGGACACGGAAGCGTAGTAGTGTAGCGAGCAGTGACTGGTCCCGAAGTGGGATCAGCCAGTGCTACAGAGACAGGTGTAGCAAGCGGAGTAAGCGTCGTGTAGTCAAGGAAGAAACAGTGCGAAGCTCCGGAGTCCAGAGTGAAAGACAGCAAAGCGTCCTGTGGAGCAGCTCCTGGACTAGTGTCTACACAAGTACCTACACTAGCAACGGCATCTCAGCAAGACTAGCACCTAAGCTAACAACACTCAAGTAAACAGAGTCAGAATCACTAGAATCAACAACAGCATACATAGCACAAGGAGTTCCTAAGAGATCAACCAACTGAGAAGCCGACATGCCCCACAGAGCAGGGCCGTACGTCTGAACAAGGGGAAGCCAGTCAGGGGCAGGGCCGTCAACGCCATAGATTAATCGAACCGTAGTGTCTT